CCACCGTGTATTCAAGCTGAATGATAACCGGTCCTGCCTGGACAGGTGCAATAGTGGAGGCGTCGAGAGTGAGCGTGGTCAGGCTTCCCTGACGTACTGTGAGTAGATCCGATTTGTCCAAGGGCGCGACGTCTATGCTTGATTCGGTTTGTCCAACCAGCGGGTGCTCAAGTTCTGAACCAATCCCTGCTTGTGTGGTCGGCTATTCTCGGCTGGCATCAACGCTAGACTCCAGCCTCAGCGATTCTTCTTCCACAATCCCCCCTGGCCCGAGCAGTGTGCCTAATGTGGTTGCGGAAATATCCATCGTCCACAGTGTACTTTCACTGGGCTGCGGAAAGAGAGTTCTTCGCTGCTTCGATAGCAGTGTAACTGCACTATTGCGAATGTAAGCCTCCAGACTTTGCACGAAGAGGCGCTCCAATCCGCACCGTGAAGGGAACACAGGTAACTTCCAGGCAGGGTACAGTCTTCCGTGGCATCGCTTCGTGTACACCTTCGCGGCTTGACACAAGAATACATTGCAGAGGAAGCACGCCATCTTGCTCGAAGCAACGACTCTCGGGGCCGGCTTGGGCCGATGCGTTTCGAGGTAATACACGAGCTATATCTCCGCGTGTATTTTCCCCTCCCGTATAGTCTTGAAACACTGGTGGGAGAATGACTCCTCCGCTGTTTGTCCGTCTCGATTAAGCAAACGTGCCACTTGGGCAACACTGGTCTGGCGCCCGTGTGCAATTCAAGGTTGCACACCACTCAACTCAATCCACTGCAAAGCCCAGTGGCGTTGAGTTGACCTAGTCAACCGCGAGCCTCAGTGGCGTTGATCAACTGTACCTCGAATTGAGTTGGGTGGATATAGATTGACGTTGATTTACGATATGTAGCCTCAGCGTTCATCCTCTTCCTCCTCCTCGCCCTCCGACTCCACTTCAGTCGCGTCATCGCATCGATCGGGAGGAACAAGCAGGACATCAAGATCTTCAATCACCCCTTCGCGTAACCATGACCGCAACACTTGGCACATCCCTATCATATCAACATCGAGCCGACTTCGAAGAGGCGTTACCATCCGCCCTGCTGCCGAAAACAGCCTCTCGCATTCCGCCGACATGGCCTGGATCGTCAGAAAATCCAGCGCCATCCGCGAGAGCCGAGGATATCGCCGTCGACGTTCATGCCAATACTCCAATGGATCCCGGACATCACCGTCGCCGTCCTCCCACAATGACTGCCACAATTCGAGCTCGTCTACATCATCATCTACATCATCGTTTCCATCAAAGCAGCGAGAGCCAGTCAGTTCCTCCTCCGCCACACTAGTCCCAGACATAGATCGCGTGCGCTCGCAGTACGCTTGAAATGGATTATAATACTTCCTCTGCCGCGTAGCCGCAGACCTCTCGGCAACGCGACCTGGCACTATCCGTAGGCGGCGGTATTGCGTCTCCCAAACCTCTCGAACGGCTTGCTTTGCCTTAACCACCCAATCAGGATGATCTTTCCACTCATTTTCAAAATAGCCCCATCGAAACGCCGGATGCAACGCCAAGGCGGTACAGTAAATCGGTGTCTCATCCAGCAGGCTGTAGTACTTGTTGAGCTTTTCCCAGCCCAGATTGATGTTGATCCTCAAGTGCTCGGAATTAGGTATCCCGCATGCGAGCTGCTTGTATTTCTCGAGGACTTCTTGGAGAAACTCAAACCCCTGAACGACTTCCCATATATTTCCGTACGAGCCAACCCATCCTCGCTTTGGCTCCGTTCTCGTGGAGAATAAATCAGCTGGTCATCGCCATCTAGATTCCGCACAGCGTCCTCGTAGAATCCCAGCAGCTTGGCCAGATGCTCCAGGACTATCCAGTCGTTGCTCGTCAGCTGGTTCTCCTCCATGCAGATCCGTGGCTCTTTGGCTGATTTTCTGATGCCAGCAGTTCTCTTTGACCTATTCTCCTGTTCCCATTGCTGGCGATGCTTCAGAACGAGCTGCTCGAGGAACGGCCGGAGAATGATGGCGCGCCGGATCATATACAGCTGAGAGAGCCAACGTGTGTCATTGTCGATAATTAGATCAAGGGTTGTGCTCGCCTGTGTCCTTGCATCCGCTGACATGTCGAACTCAGATCGCTGTATGCTTCGTAGCAGACCAGTTAGCTGGTCTGACCTCCTGACGTCCACTACAAGGTTATGTAGCTTCCCGACAGGCCCTTTACGACGCCACAGAGAGTGCTCCGCCTCGGACAAAGGTGCTGCGCCTGACAACTGCTCTTCAAATGCTTCCGCATTATGCCCAAACAGTAACGCCTTGGCGGAGAGATTCAAACTGTGGCCAAAGCAACGACCACGCCTCGTAGAACCCACGAAGCCAAGCTCGCCTCCAATTACCTCCATGGCCTTATCATTGCTG